CGGGCCTTTGTACCAGACTATACCTGGACTGTTTCCATTCATGCAAATTTTCAAAACAGGAACTGAATCTAATCAGGATTAGTACACTGACTGTCAAGAAACCATACAGATGCACAGCAACCAAACATCTGTCCTCTGGTGTGTGTATGATTCCCTCCCCTGTCTTTTCTCTAAAAAAAGAAGGGTCAAAACAAAATGCTGGCAGTCCAACTGAAATCTTTGAAGAGACAGTATGGTTTTAGTTATGAGAGGATGGAAAACTGAGAACCCTGGGGATTTTTGCGAACATTAAGCTTTATTAATCAGGAATGTATTAGCCACATACCAACATTTCCAAATGGTATGCTGAATTAGAGAAATGGAAGGGAATAAAACAAAACTCATCTAGTCCAGTCTTATCCTCACCTATTCCAATCCACCTCAGCCTACTCTTGAGGTGGTTTTCCAACCCATTCCTTCAAAATAAACTTCCCCTGTTTCCGCAGTACCTAGAAGTAGTGTATCCCACGGTTTTACTGCCTACACAGGCAGAACATGGTTCTTAAAATGTACCCTGGTAATTTTCACTGCTCATTGAACTGATTTCTCCAGGTCTTTCTCCCAGAGGACACGAAGAACAATTAATCACTGTGCTCCTGGTTATAACTTTTTACTCACTAGATATTTTTTTTTCCTGCTTAATGTATACAATAAAAACATTTTTGAAAGCATAAGATGCCATGTAGGGCTTCTACGTACCATCATGCCCCTAACCCAGGTAACAATCAACCAGTTTCTACTTTCTCAACAATTTTAACAGTAGGACAATTTTTGCTTTGACAAACATTTATGACCTCTCTCTGTTTCCACTGGGGTTCCACAGGTAAAAATCAGGGCAGAATTTATCCCCATGAGTTTCTAGATTAATGCCTTGGTATAGGAGGGGAGAAAAGGCAAAATTAATTCTCTTTGTTAGTGCTAACACAATTCCTCAGTGACAGCCAGCCCCAAGACACTTATCTTTCTTCAAAGAAGCATACTTATATACTTATTTCACATTCAGACGTCTTCTCCAGCACAGCTACTCTTTCTGCATCCAAAAAGGTCTTAGTGAGATATTCAGGGTTCAAATTTTGTCAGAGAAATAGCAACTAGGAATGTACAAGGCTCAACAACACTAACATTAGACATGCAATTCTAGTTGAAACTGCAAGGTATAGGAGGGAAAGGAAAGATCCCATATCCATCAGGAAACACAAGGACCCCTGTGTTGTGAAGAACACAGTGGGGTAGCTTGTTTGTTGCTTCAAAATTCTCCCTTCATTTAAAGGCACTGCTCTGATGGACGAAGCCCTGTATAGCCTTGACATCCTGACGCTACACATGCTGCATACACTCTGGGATGCCAGCTTACTGTGTCACATTGGCTTGGGTTCTGCCTGTTCCCTTCCTTAAGCCTGCAAGCTCAATTGAACTTATGAAAATTCAAACTGTCTTCTGTCTGTTTCATACATCATCAGCAAACAATCAGTAGACAAAATGAATTTGTTCTCTGTAATTTTGAGGCTATATGAATGTCTCTGCTGTATAATACAAAAAAAGGGGAATAAGGTTTGGTATGCAAGGTTAATTCAGCATGGAGGAAAGTAGCAAAAAAAAAGCAGATGGAGAGAGAACACAAACAATAAAATACTCAACAGTGGGGAGAGTGACATGAGAAATACTTCTATAAATTGGAGTTGGCCTTGATGCCTTTGAGTGATGGAATTAAACAAAGGCACAAGTGAGTTGTGAAAGATCACCTCTGTGAGTGACTATATCTCTGTCCCTCATGCTTTGTCTACACAATACACTTATTAATGATAACAATGGTTACTATTTCTCCTCTAAGAGCTCTGCAAAAACAAACTCAATAATGTTCACAGAGCTGTATCAGTACTGAAGTCGTAACCAGATTGAAAAACTGATCTACTAAACAAGGTGCAGAGAGGTTAAATGATTTGTCCAGAGCCACTCAATGAGCCACCATCCACCAAAACTCAAACTCCAGACCTTTTGGTCAGTAATCAGACCACAAGGCCATGTAAGATTGGAACAGAAAAAAAAACTCTCTTTTTTTTTTTTTTTTTTTTTTTACTGTGTTGTATATTCCTGTTGGCCTCAGCCAATGGCACCTGAAATCAGTCAGCTGTAACTAAAACCATTACTTTTAAAGCACATTCAGTGCATCTGTATAAGTCTTCAGACTGTGAGTACAGAATTTATTTTCTTCCACAGACAACATGCTTTCCCCACTGTCCAGTTCTAAAATCAAACACATGCTGAATGTCAGCAGAGGTAACTAACTCTTCTTACTGGACTTAATCCTATTTTGGGTTAATTGCAAATAGTGAAGTACTTAAGCATATCTTTAAAGTTAAATATTTGAGTAGACTTGTGGTTCTCAGTGGATCTACTTGCCTATCAATCCACATAATTTTAGTACATAGCTGATCTGACCACCCAACATAAAAAGAATCAAACCCACAGACCTTTCCCATTAAGAGCATGCCTGCACTACATTTACAAGGCTGTGTTCTTGTGCAGCTGCCTGCCAGATGTTCACGTGTTGTGAATCTGTATTCTCCTGTAGCGCCATTTAAGTCAAGTCATTTTATAACAGCTGAAAATTTGGCCCCTTTTTCTACTAATGACTTATTTTAAGGATATTTCTACCTAAAACAAGGTTCCACCCTTCAATTAAAACAATCCTGCTCTCTAGTAGAAAACTAGCAAAGCGTGGCTTGCATTTTTATTTTTTTTCTTTTACTGTTTTCATGTTAACACAGGAAAGTCATACTTGAAAGTTTACTTCATTAAAGATCTCAGAATTAGAGACACCTGATAATAGTAAACATATCTGAAAAAAAAAAGAAAAATTCTTAAAGGATATTATTGTCTATAATAAGGGTCCCCCTATGGTTACATGAACACAATGTATAGTAACAATCACAGTCTCATTTTACAGCATACATCTGCATACACAGAAAGTTCCCCCAACTTATTTGTCTCTATTACAGGCTGTGTGCCAAGGCTACACAATTTAAGAGCAGCTAGGAGTTTACAGATGGGGTATTATTGGGGAAATAAAACAAATGAAACAAGAAATTCAAAGATTAGATGCTTGGATCTCTACCTCAGGGAACGTAAAGAAGAACCGAACAGAAAAGAGCTAGAGTCGTGATCCCCTGCTCCATTTCTAGTTCAGCCCCTGATTTACTCTGATCTGGACCAAGCTATACAGTATTTCTGCCTTGATTTGCTTGCCACCCTATAAATGTTATTTTTTTTTCCCCTGCATGTGATTTCTGCACTTGTGTAGTTATTCTTCCTCCTAGATTCCCATCTCTTCCCTAACTGAAAAAGCCCATTCCAGCATCATCTATGAGGCCCATATATCACTACCTGGTATTTTGTATTAGGGCTTTCCATGCAGGACTTACTGACCATCTGAATTCTAAGGATTCAACATGCCTTAATTCAGTCCTCACTCTGCTGTTACATTTTAGAAAGAGAATTATTATTGGTTTCCAGTAAAATTTCTCTTGGTTATTCATACAAAATAGAAAGACAGCTTTGATACTCAGTACTCCCAGATTCACAAATGTCCCCTAACTTTCCCCCTTGCTCCTAACACCTCCCTTTAAATTGTTGCTGGACCCAACAAATCCACCAGTGTTCTCAGTTCAGGTCACCCTTAAATTGCAAGATTAACTTCTCGTGGCCAGGGCAGCTGCTCATGGCAGATATTCAGCCATGATGAGGAGAAAATGTTAAATACGATTTACTAGCCACAGCCTGCAGTTAATGCACAATATTTAAGCAACACAATGGCATGGCCCTTGCCAGTAATGTAAAAACACAATGGAGTCGAGCCAGAATGGCACAGTCTGCCTGCCTGAGTCATGCTTGGTGTTCCACGCTGGAAGGGGCATGCATTAGCTGCCCACAGTGTACTGTACCCTTCAGCTAGTTTAAACTAAACCATTAAAATACAATTTGAAGGAAAAAAAAAAAAAAAAAAGTTGGGGGGACAGAGAGTTAAAAAAAACAACCATGGAATATTTAAAATATTTCAATATTGAAGTACAAAAGTATTACTTTGGGGAAAGATGCTGGATTTCATTACAGACTGTACATTTTGATCTCAGAGAAGAAAACAAAATGACTTTGCTTTGTCATACTCCACAGCTTTGCACTGTCAAACTAAAAAATCAATTCTTTCTTACTATCTTGAAATTCTTGGAATTTTACTCATATATTATTTTGTTAAATTCAGAGTATCTGAATCTACAGCATTTCCCAGTCCTCTTTTACTTGCTTGTTCTCCATCCACAGAAGTTCCAAATCTTAATTATTTACCCAAACAGATTCAGTAAACACATTCTAAATAAGGGTACATGTACAATCTGCATTGCATTTATGGAATAACTATGCCCTTAAAAGAGGCTTCTTTCTTACCGAGAGACACAAGACATAATTTTGACTGTTTTGTTGTATCGCAGCACGGATGAATAAGGCATCTTTGCCTTCATCTATGTCCTAATGCAGCTGAAGCCTCCTGTGATGTCATTAAAAGATGTTCCATCTTTTTCTTATATAAGGGACAAAAATTTAATATGGCAACAAAAAAAGAGAATAAACTATATTTTATGCTATGAGGAACCTTCTGCTATTTTCTATTATCTCTACTCCAAAGTGCAGAAATCCTCACTGACAAAGCCACAGGAACCATACGTCAACAGACACACACTCTTCCTAATAATAATCAAAGCAAAAAAGAAAGATCTATTCAGGGGTCTGAAATTAAAGATCTGAAAGATTCAAGTTTGGTTCTAATTTTCAAATAAAACATCCTTTGAACTTCTAAATCCTATTCAAGGGGAATTTGACCTTTATCCAAGAGCAGTTACTGTGCTAACACTTTGGATGTATATTGAGGAAAAATACTGACAAAAGGTACCGGAAAAGCTTTTACTTACAAGAATGCAGTGCAGCTTAATCTTTTTGTTTTTAAGGTGCAGTGATTTCAGCATCTACAATGTAACTTCAGGCAGTCTGAAAAGAAACAGGTTAAAATCTCTTTCAGTTATAATTGGTATTTCAGATTTAATTAAAAATTAAACTTTCATAATGTTTCACCATCCAAAGCAATGCATTATCAGTCAAGCGTAGCCTTTTTTTTTCTTTCTTTTTTTTCCTTTTTTTTTTTTTTTTGTTAAAAGAAGCTCTTCCCGGAGTATTTTACAATAAGAGAAGAAGGGGAAAAAGGCAATTGAGAGTAGCAAAATATATTTCTACAGAAAAAAAAAAAAAAAATCTGCATAAGTTGGAAAGAAGCCTTCTGCCACTTAATTTCAACAATCAACCTTATATTAATGTAAAAAGGAAAAAAAAAAAAAGGCATCACAATTAAAGATGACAGAAAAACACCACCACATATCAATGATTGTGAAGGGAAAAACATTAATTTCTATAAAACAAGGACACTGCTAGGACCAGAACGTACGCACCAAAAGGGAAAATGTGGTTTTATATAATGCCAGCCAACATTTTTTAAAAATCAGCTCTTCAGCATGTAGCACTTCAGACTGTTGCATGGAGGAACAGAAAGACAAGTTCCAAAAGAGGAAAGCTGTTTTTACAGTGCGCAAGGCAAAAGGTCCCTTGCACTCATTTGTTAAGGGATATGAAATAGCTACTCTCAAACCTGTAAGGCTTTGTATCAAATAAAACAAAATGTCATTTTACCATGCAAAACAAATGATTAAGAAGTGGTAGTTATAGACAAAGCATTTGAATAAATGCAAAAAACATTTTTTTATTTTTATTTTTTCAAAATACAGTTGGAATGACAATAAAACTCCGGGGGTTATGCCATAAATACGAGTTTAAATGTTAGACTGGAATTATAAACCTGTGGTTTTAATTATATCTAATTATAAAGGTTCCAAAACCAGGAGAAGTGAGAATAACAAAAAATATTAATAATAAATTAAAACTATTTTGCAGTAAGTTGTCAGGATTTGACCTCATAATAACCAACCATATAGCTATATACACAGACACACACAACGTAGCAGCAACTCATTAAAGAAACAAATCAAAACTTGCTACAATTTTATTTTAAAAAGATGACAGCAGAACTTTCCTAATTCGCCCCATTCAATATCAAAGCTATTTTCCTCACTGTTGTTTCCTCACATTGAGAGAGCTGCGAATAAATTCTGGACACAAATCTAATACTGATTTCAAACGTCCCACAGTTTGGGGGAAATTCCTCACCAAAGTTTTATTTTTGATCCCCCGTGAGTAAAACAAAAAGCAAACCAAAACCAAACCCAACATAAACACAAAACAGCTCTTCAGGCTTCAGTGTTATATAATCCTCCCCATTCCTTCTCCACAAACGTTAGCAAGAAACATGCTCTATCGTGTGATACGCTGCTGTGCAAACATGCTCATACATACGTGTATCCTACAAACACCAGTGAGCTCAGTTATTGTTAGGCTTAACTCTGTCAAAACAGAATTCAAGCAGGCAACATTGAAGGGGAGAGCACAACAAGTATCACCAAATCTCATTCACAGTGAATGAAACCGATAGCACTGAACTGAAAGGAACAAGATTTCACACCCAGATTTCCTAGGGCAACACCTGCACAGCACAATCTTGCATGAAACATTTCTCAAAGTGTCTTGGCAAGATGAATCATCTGACAAACAAGTTCCTTGTTCCCTATACAATCTTTACATTACATAACTTCCCTTCTCTCTCTTCTGATCAGCACCTAGGAAGCCACACAGAGGAATGGGGAAGAGATCCAGCCAAAGAAATTGCAAGTCCATCCAAACCAGGCAACAGCACAACCATCAAATGACTGATAACAGCTTCAGCCTCCAAATTTCCATTTTTCTCTTCCTTCCCCTTTCAATTTTACCCCCTTTCAATTTTACCCCCTTTCCTAAAATCTTAAGGACCCTAATGCTGGCTTGCCAGCTGGGAAGGACAGGGGCAGTGGTATTTGTAATCCAAAGCTATTTATTTTAATGAATGCAATGAAAAACTGACCTCAACTGAGAAAACAAAGAGCATTCAGCAGAGGGTGAAATGCATCCTCGTACAGAGAGCCAGAATACAAACTGCACCACTGAAGCCCTTTTCTGGTGACCTAAATAGGAATAAATTGGTGCTTGGACTTAATCACAGCAAATTTTGTCCAAAATAACCATTTTTCTCGTAGAGAATGAGGAAGCATTTTGCCCTCTCCTATGAAACCATGAAGGTGCAGCCCCTTCTCTCTCCTGACAGCTGTTGATCAGCGTGTTCTCCAAGCAGCATTGCTCCAAAGTCCCTCCTGCTCTGTGCACGTTCTTCTAACTGACAAGGGAAACAAGGGAAGGCAACATGTAGTGTTGCCATTTGAGCTGAGCAGCAGGGCACAGCGCTTGCAGATGTAGCTCTCGCTCTCCTTGAGGCAGGCATAGCTGGCACACAACTACGAGCCACCAACTAAAGGAAATGGAGCCTCATGAGACTGTTTCAGCTGCCATCTTGAAAAACTGCAGTGAAAAAACTGGAGTTAACACAACATCCTACATGCAGCACTCACAGCCAGAGTGCTGCAAGGAGCTGCTTCAGCTACAGGTTGGAGTTAAAACCAAAGCACAACCAACAGAAAGCCCCATTAAACACAGAATACCAATCACTGCCATCTTAATCATATCTTTCAGTTCACAATCTAAGAAATTCATGGTCTGAAGATGAATAACTTAGACAAGTACATATGAGCAGGAGGTTAAAAAGGAGGGGGCTTCTTAGCCAGATGGCTAGCACAGGTCAACTCTCCTGTCTCCTTTAGGAGAGCCCTGAACCCCTTGAGAAAAGCAAGGAACCTGGCTTTAGAACTGCTGGTGAACTTTTGCTTGGGAGAAGCCCAAGAACTGGAATTATAGGAATGATGAGTATGAAAATGAGCTACACTAATGGAGTGTTAACAGGAGGGCAAGTGTTGGCTCTCAGTAAATGCTTCAAAAACAAATCACAGAAAGGTAAACATGTTTTGATAGGCTTTTTTTTTTTTTTTTTTCATGATTTTTGCTTGCCAGTAAATTTATGCAGAGCCTAAAAAACGTGAGAGCAAAGCTATCGACTGGACATGGCTGAAGTCACGTCAGCAATATTCCATGAAGTATAGGTACCTAGCTCTGCTGTGTCCATCTGGCAATGGTAATCTAGTTCATCATTTTTGGAAGGGCCACATTCACTCAATCTAAAAATTAAGTAAAGAAAAAAAAATTTTTTTACTAGAAAACATTTCAGAACTTTTTAGCCTTTTGCAAACCGCTTCTTGGCAGCAAGGAAGTTCTGTAAGGGCTTGATTTGTCTTGAATACCTGATGTCAACTGGAGGAAGTTAATGAGAATCACATGCAGTGGATTAGTTATGGGAAGAGAGAAGAGAAAAGGGTAGGAGAAAATATAAGGGCAACATTTATTGACATCTTTTCCATTTTCTACATAGAATTTACAACATCAATCGATTGATCATTTTCAAAGTACTGGATCATATCATTGTTCTCACTTCTAGAACTGCAAATCAATGATGAAGAAAGTACCCCAAATAACTACTCACAAAAAGTGAAATATGAATGCCCTTACTCACTGAAAAAAAAACACGTATTATATTAAGAAAGCCCCTTTCAAGAACCAAAGAAAGAAAAGAAGAAAAGAAAATAAAACCATTAATTTTAAGAGAATTTTCAAATAAGCTTAAATACCAGTCAAGAGAACTCATTCCAATTTCAAAATCCAAATGATGGCTTAGGGTATGGTCCAGATTACTTTCTGGCCTTTTATATCTGAAAACACAAAGTCATGGACTGATTTTGTCACAGCAATCAGAGAAGGAGATCTATGCTGTATAGGCTCACCATGTAACAACAAACAAGCAAACTTTGAAACTGGAACTGGTATAGGCACATCAGCACAAAGGTCTGTCTAGGCTCATTAGTAATGCAGAAGTATAAACCTTAATAATGTAGATACAGCATTATATAACTTCTGCTTTTCAAAGTGAATGTCCTTCAATTGATACTATTCCAAAGAATCCTCCTAAACAGGTGTGCCCTCTTGAATTGGAAAACTGCACACTTAAAAAAGTACACATGAGCTTTGCACATTTCCAATTCTGTCTTTCAACTCACGGCCATTTACACAGTATAGCAACAGTGCCAAATGCAGCCCCACTATCAACCACGGAGCTGAGCTTCAGACAAACCTAATGCAGGACTGCAGCTCCTGGCTCACAGGGCTGCAGGTGGGAGAAACCTGGGTTCTGTGGTTCAGGGGAGCTGGAGCAGAAGACCCACCTGTGGCACTGTGCTAGAAACAAAATCCCCTACCACTGTAGTACAGGGAAAAAAAGCACACTGAAGGTTTCTTTGTCAAAATGATAAACTTGCATCTATTATTAGCTCACTGCAAAGCCGTATACCTACAGAGATTTCCTCTTCTTTATGGCATCCACCTATTGAGCTTACTTTCCCAGAGAAGACTGTCCCCATTACAAACTTCAGCTTCCAAGCTACAGTTGTTTCATTTAAAAAATAAGTTTGGTAAGGAAAAAGGTCTATTTTTGACTGTTTTTCATTTCCCCTGCCCCAAAAAGCATTTGAACTTTGTTTTCATTTGAGTATGAAAAATACTGCTCACAGGATAGGTCTAATACTCCTTGAAATTCAGGTTTCAGAAATTTCGAGACTCAAACACATAGAAGCTGTGATACATGATCAACCCTACTGGTAACTTCAAAATTCAATGCAATTTCACTTCAAGGGCTCTCGTAACTGCTAAACACATTGGATTCTTTAATAGCACAGTCCACCCCTCTAATTTAATTCCTAGTGCTAACAAAGTAAGCAAGAAGTACTTGAGAAACCCAGCTGTAAAAGCATGTTAGTAGCTGAACTTGTCAACCCAGTGAAGAGTTAGTCTCCTTGTAACTGCACTTAGGACCTGACCTGGACTCCTGAAGTGCAGTTTCACTGGTGGTTATG